ATGACAGCTTCAGACAAAGCCTTTTGCTCGAGATAGGACATGAATTGAAACAATCTGGTAAAGAAAAACATTCAGTCAGTATTCAATAGAAGTACAAGTCTAAAAGTCTCCCCCCACCAGACATATTTTAATGAATGCATAGTTACAGGGTGACTATGTTATCTCATAGTTTTCTTGTGTCATTAACTGAGAAGAGAGTTTTAAAAAAGTGTCTTCACAGAAATCTTATTCATATGTTTTATTATATGTTCCAGCATGGGCACCACTTTAGTTTAATGGTATGTTGGATGATGGTACAAATTTATAGCCAAAGGTTTACATCACAGACAGCTGGAATGAATAACAATAAATTAATTTAAAGTGCTACAGAAGTGCTCCCCATAGTATGCAGTGCTTATATGCTCAAGACTAATAATTTATAAATGCACATCTTTTATAATACTGGTCTAAAGTCCTGAAAGCAGCTGGTTAAAAAGCAGTCACATGACATAATTATTTTCATTAATATTTCAAATGCATGGTTAGGGTGGGCACCATGGTCATTAGCATTAGATAGCTTTCGTTTATGATCAAGTGTGATGAAGCAATAGCCACACAGAAACCAGCTAAGCCCTGGCAAACAACCTTTGGGAGTCCTGGGGAGCTCCTGCTGCTTCTTCCATGTGCTCTTTAGAAGCTAGTGGTCATCACAGCTAAGGCTGTTTCCCTTCCTTTTGCTTCCTGTTGTGTTTGTCACATTAGACACTCAGAAGGCTTGAAGAATAAAAAGAAGTGCTGTGAGTGCAGCAAGAAGCAGCTGTGCATCTCTGCATGGCTTTCCTTCCATCCCCAAGCACCAAACAGCAGCGGTGCAGAAGGCAGTGAGGGGCCCAGAGGGTGCTCTAACCCCTGCCCTCATTACACCAGCAGCGCTAATTTCAACACTGAGCAAATACTGAGCTTTCAAACAAACTCCTGCTTGGATGGGGTAGGTTACCTGAAAACATTTTACTTGCTTTGGGATGACACATTTTTGGTTCTGTGTCAGGGAATAAGAGAAAAGTGATGCCTCCAGGCAAACTGGAGTATTTGCAGTAAAGCATTTTGGAGATTAAGGATCAGGACAGGCCATAAGCTTTCCTTTTGGGGCACAGGACTATTTTTTTCCTAGCATAACCCAATGTCCTTCTGCAGTCTTCTGTAGTGAAAGGGTACATTCACTATTACTAGTGAGGGTAAAAGAGAAACCAGCTCAAATAACTTGGGTAATGTTGCATCTTTTCCCCAGTACAGCTTTCTGGCATATCTCACTGCAGGGATGTCACTTGCCTTAATACCACACTTACTTTCTCCAGGCAAATCTGGTTGCCTCTGACTTTTCTTGGTGAAAATAATTTATTTCTTAAATGCAGAGTTGTTAATCTGAGGTTATAGAAGGAGTCTTTCACACTGAAAGAAGGATCATGAATAATTTCTGTGTCTCTTCTTTTGGGCCATTGCCATATATTAGACTACATATTTGAGTCATGGCAGATTGAAAAAATATGCACCACAATCAACCCCATTCACTTTGGTGGTTCTTTAGCAAAGGAAGTGGAGAAAGAGACAAAGTGGGCAGAAGTATCATCATGTGGTCCCTCCCCTCCCTCTTTTTAAAGAAAAGAAAGCTGTTTGTGCTACACAGAATTCAACCTTCTACGTAACAATGCCTGATTAACTTTTTTTAGTATCACAAACATTTGCAAGTTCATACTCTTTCTCCTCTTCCTTTCTGGCTTTCTTTGAAAGTACTTTGTAATGTAACACGTTTTTCCAGAGGTCAATGGGGACATATTTGCATTTTGATACACTTCAAATTTTTGCCTCCAGCACGCCACTCAGATGCGCTGTGCTAATCAGAAGGCAGTAATGATCTCCTACGTGCTTCAAGCGGGTGGCTGGGCATAGAAAAGCACCTCAAAATGCAAAATTCGTGAGACAGCAATACACAGCAAAGATAAATAAATACAAAAAAGGGACGATGCTGGCAACAGCAGTGTGGATTTGTAAGCTGAGGGCTCTGCCTGAAATAAGCAGCTAATGTGTTTATGTGCACCACTGGAGTGATAAGGGGATTGGGGGGGCTCCTGCCTCAGCCAGCTGCACTGATGGACTGCAGGTTTCTCTGAGCAGATCACTTGTATGTCAATATACCCAGATGAGGCATAAGCATTTCTGAAGGCTTTTTATATTGTCAGTGATACCTCATGTTCTGAACAATCCAAATCCAAGATTAGGAAGGATCTAGGAAAATGGGGCAGCCCCAAAGCATGGGTTTAATCTGTGTAGAGGTCTTTTATTTTTAGCAGTAATGATTGGTTTACAATCAAATTTGCCTGTCCAAAGTGAGTGGGTATATAAAGCTATATGGGAAAGGAAAAAATGCCAGAACCCAAGAGATTATTTATTTTAAAAAAAAATTTAAAGCATGAATATTTTTGACAGACAGAGTCACAAGAAAACCTGAGCACTTCCCCAGTAACCACTGCATCAGGAGAAAAACTCCCGATAAGCAGATGTTGCTTAGGCAGCAATCAGCCAGGCAGAGTGTGTGTGTGTGTGTGTGTGTGTGTGTGTGTGGAGGGATGGAGAGAGAGCCAGGCAGACAGGTATTAAGGCACTGTGGTGAGTGTGTGTGTGGCTGCAAAGGATGGCAAACTGTGTATGAGAAAATGACATATGAGCAAAACCAAGCTGCTCTGCTGAGTATTTTATATGTATTTTTAAGAGAAAGAAGCAAGAAGAAACCAGGAGAGAGAGACTGAAAAGACAAGGCAGGAATGACCAAGCAATTGCATGTCTGGACTAACAGCAGCATAAGGCAAGAAATCCAGGCATCAGGGAAATCATCTAAAGCCATATTGATTCGTTTTGGAGGTGAGAAAAAGCAGATGCACTTAGCTACTCTGGAATGGCTCTGACAGCAGCTACAGCTGCTTGATTTTACCTTTTTTTTTTTTTTTTTTAAACGAGTTTCATTCACAGAAAGCTGGCACTGCAAACCCAAAGCAGCCTGCACCCCTCGCTGCATCACCTCTTCCCCAGCGATGGAGCTGCCATCAAAGCGTGCCCAGCCAGGCAGCGCCTCCAGCCAGCCACCAGAACCCTCAGGCACCGCCAGGGTGGAAGAGGGAGAAAGAGAGAAAGAGAGGGACGGGGGAGGGCAGCGGATCAATGGCTGGAATGCAGCAGCTCTGGCCATTTCCAGAGAGCTGGGAGCTTGGAGGCAGAGCAGGTTCCGAGCCCATCCATCTCCTCGGCAGACAGCAGCTCTTCCCCGGGAGCTCTGCCCGGCCCGGCCCTCGGCAGCGCACAAAGCGAGAGAGGGAGCCAGGACTGGGCACTGCTGGTCCTTGCACCCACAAAATAGGAGATGCACATGGCATGGGAAAATAAAGGGGTTTAGTATTCTGTAGGGAATACTGTGTGCTGGGGAATGGGGGTTTCTACATGGAGTACTCTACATGGAAACACTATCAGGTGTTGCTGGCACTGCTTCCAGTAAAGCCAGCACTGTGTCTGGCAGGCCTTTGCTCTTTAGATTTGCACTGACACCTTAATTCAGCTGGTCCTTAGTCTGTTTATCCAAAGATGTAATTATAGAATTCGTACAGAGACACTGTGGCTGGGACTTCAAAATACTGCTTTTCTGGAAGGCAGATACCTGTGAAGGTCTGCTCTAGGTGACTTATCCTCAGTCACAGAGTGAACCTGATCCTCAGCCAAGGCTTCTGAGTCTTCCCCAGACTCAGATTTTTCTCATGCAAACAGCTTATTCTCTGTGAAGTGTGGTTTCAGACCTATAAAATTCAGTTCAAACTGCGAGCATAGTTACAGCATGCAGTTTGAAATTTTCATTTTCTGTTTAAAAAGAAATCAGACTCCACAACAGTGAGGGTAAGGGATGTCCAGGAAGGTTTCCTTAAGAATAAAAATAGGACTGTTTTATTCAGTATAAAATTAAATTTGGTGTGGTTTTATTATTTCTGGGAAAAAAAAAATCTAGGTGCTTTTCTGAATCTGCTCTCCTAGCAACTCAGATACTGTCCCATCTGTCCTGTTTTCTACACCAAGAACCTCAAGTTCTAGGTAGGGGTGTGTACATGCATGCTTACTGGCTTGGTCTTTCACAAACATCTGCTGAGGAGCACCTTATTTGTATGAAATGTGAGTTTGGCATAAAAAAGGTCAGAAAATTTCTATCAGGACAGTTTTCCTAAAGAAAACAGCTTTCAGGTAGATGGAATGTTTTACAACTATATAAAATTCCATTTTTCCATAGAAAATTGTATTCTGGTCAAAATTTAATATTCACTTTACTGAAGGTACATGAAAAAATAAGCAAACATTGTCTTAAGTGGCATTTACTCACATTTTTTATTGGCTACACTGTGAAGGGTAAATCCAGAGCAACTTCCTCGGCCTCATTCAAGTTACTTTGACTTATCCTGTTGCAAATAAGTTTGAAATCTCAGTCTGGTTCTTGTGATTAATATCTTTACCTTCTAGGTTTATACGTACAGAGAAAAATGTAAAAAAAAAAACCGAGTGCAATTCAAACCAAGAGGCTTAATGGATTCTGCATCAGGACTGTTGTAAAGAGTTCCAACTCCCAGAGCATTTGGTTTCAGTACCAGTGGTTAGAACATGTCAGTGTGTAAATTTATAATTAAAAGTAAAAACATATAACCAAGTACTTAAAATAATTTACAACTATATTTTTATCAGCTATAATTTGAAAATGATCAGTGTTACACAGAACACTGGCTCAATTTTAAAGGTTAGGTACATCTTCCACTAAATTAAACATACCTTAAAATATTCTTAGATCTGATGACTGAGTAGTTTAACAGCATCTTAGCAATACCGAAACATCCTTGTAAGTCTTTAGATTTATGTGTAGGCCAATATATTTTCTTTTTCACTTGTTAAAAAAATTAATCCTTTGCTTTAGGTAAAGAAAGAAAAATTACCATGAAATAGGGTGTGTCTGGTCTTCAGAAAATCTCAGACCATTCCCACAGAAGCCAAACACTGGTACAAAGTTTTTGTATTACTGGAAGCACTTTAGGATCTGGAGTATGAGTCAATGGTAGTTCCCTGCATGGATTCAAGTGGAGAAGTTAGTTATTAATATGCAAATGCTACTTTTTATTTTTAATCCAGCTGGTTTGCAGCAGGCCAGATCACTTCATCTAAAAGTATCAATTAAAATGATCACGAGTGCTGCACTGCTTCAGCGTGACAGGAATCACCTTGAGCAGGATCTCTTGTAATTGGCTTTTAATGCTTTTCCAAAGGAGTGCCAATTTTCTGCATCTGATAAATAACTAAGTTGGGGTAATTCTGTTCTCTAAGGCAAATATATAAAGTGAAGGAAACAGGATGAGAGCAAATTAATCCCAAGTGTAAACTCACTGACTCCAGTGGTATTACACTAGAAATACTTGCAGATTGGGGTTTCTTATGCATAAACTGACGTGAATTGTGCCTAATAAGAAAGTACCTTAAATCATGCCTTGGGCAAAATAGCTCAGTTAATCCCAAAATGTTGTTGCAAGAAAATCCCTTCCTTTCCACAGTTTTCTAAGGGAGCTACAAGGCATGTTACATAGCCAAGCTTTCCAAGGAATTTAAATAATTTATTTTCTTGATTCAGATCAGCCTAATATTTTTGTGAAGCATTTTATTGGTTAATTTTAATATTTTTTCCCCTCCCAGCCACAAACCAAATAGATTTATAAGGTTACTTATTGCAAAACTTCACAGTTTTTCAGTCAGCTCTTGCATATATTACAGAAAATGCCAATTCTGCTTCCTTGTCTCTAAGCCCTTAAAATAATCTGGGCCCCCTTTTAATTCTGCTTGTATGAAGTCAGGAAACATTTTCCTCGAGTTACATGAGCACTAAGTAACACAGTTGCACAGAAATGATTTTTTAAAATTCCAGTATATAATAAAACCAAAAGGAAATTAAGTGAAAATGGCCAGTGTAATGAAACGCTGGCACTCAGTCAGAAGTTAGGTGCTGAGGTTTACTTTCATTCTCCTGCCCAACCCTTATCTAAAATACTATGAGAGAAAACAAACACTAAGATGACAATACTGAAATAAGCCCTAAAACATTTCAGAAAAATCTCTGCTATGATTTTTCCCCTTTGTAATTGACATATACATTGGTAAATCTTTTGAGAAAATAATGTTTACAGACAAAAAGGATTCTGTCAAATAATTTTAAGCCAGCTTTCCAAAGGAACACTGCTGTGAAAAAAAACAATGAAAATCCTTCCCAATACGTCTGTGTGGTGTGACTGTGCCCATTTGTGACTAACCATTGAGCCCAAGAGTTTCAGGTTTGCCCCAGTGTGATTGCTTTCTTTCCTACCGACTGCTTTCATTTCTGAAGATGGCAGCTTTCACATGAACAGAGCATGCTGCTCCCTATTCCCTTCTCAGCACTTCCACGTGCAAAACAGCAGCCACAGAAGGCCACTTTGCTTTGCTGGTGATGTGCTACGCATCAGTCTGAAATATTGCTGAGTAGGGGCAGCAGGAGCTGGATCTTAATGATTTGCCCCCTCCCAATCATTTGGGTTCATTGATTTCTCTAATTAAATATGCGTTCCACTTCACCATTATTCCCAATGATCGCATTTAATCTCAATGACAGGGCAGAGATACGAGGGCCTTTCCTTACAAACTGCTTTTGCAAGCCCTGCTGTTCTGTGGGGGCTCTTGCATGCCTCCAGGTATTTGTCCAGTGCTGTTTGGCTACATCCTCCTTTCCTCATTGAACTGCTTTCCCCTGTGTGTTCAGGCCTTTCTTCCTTTCAGTTGAGCCTTCCAGCTTTGCTGTATAGGGCTGGGGCTGCAGTTCTGTCTGACAGTCATGTATGTAAAGCTGATTTATTTGGCTGCTGTGGCTCTGTGCCAGGGAAGAGGCCGTCTGAATGGTGAAGCTGTTAGGAAACTAATTGCATGATGGACTGCAGTTACAGGAGAGTCTTTGCTGTTTGCTTCATCTAATCACATTTGCTACCAAGGATGTTTCTTGTTTGCCCCTTTTCCATTGTATGAATTGGAGGAATACCAGGTTTACACAAGGGATGGGCTTGGTTGATTGGTTCCCAAGCCTGTATCACTGTCTTGTCAGTCCCTTCATTTGTTAAAGAGACAAAAATACTGTCACTGCTGTGAGTGTTCCCTTGCTTGCTCATCTCAGACTGGGAGGTTTTGAACTTGCCAAGCTCTAAGTTCAGCACTCCTGTTTGTTCTTCTTGTGCTGATGAAGTCACTAATCTCTAAATGAAGGGCAGGGAGCTGTTTGGGTTAGCAATTTCATCATCTTGAACAGAGAAAACAGAAAGCTTTGCAATACAGGTGGGTTAACAAGAAAAAGATTTCCCTCTGTCTTGCTTTCAAATGTCTTTCTGAATGGTAAGCCTGAACTGAAACCTTGGGTTGCAAAATAGCAGCCCATGGCCCATGGAAAGAGCAAACTCTCAGAAGAACTCAGTGCCACCAAATCACCTTCACGTAGGCCATGCTCCATTTCCTTGCCAGCAAACATCCTCGTTAGGCATTTAGATGAGAGAAAAACAGCCATACTGCTGCTTGTCTTCACTGTTTCTACTCTGGGAAGAATGGTAAATGGTGGGCCTACTGATAAGCTAAGAGATTTCCACCCTCAAACCACAGCTCCCTTGGGACCAGTGCCAGCCGCTCCTCCCCAGTAGCCCCAGATTGCTACTCTGCTTGCATGGCAGCATTGATGCTGTTTCCATGCTGCTGGTGATCACAGTTTCCATTGGAGGGGTTTGTGTTCATCCTCCTTATGGCTACCAGGTTCAAGTCAACATTGACTGCTACCAAACTAGAGAAACTTGAGGTGAAAACTCTGAGTTTCTCCTGATTCCACCATAAAACTTTCTCCACAGCCAGCACCCACCTCCTGGGAGATGCATGCTGAAGTTTGAGCCCAGACCACACACTGGCACAGGGGAATGGTGGCAAATGCTTTATGCATATTTTGCTGACCCCTTGTACGAAATAGCTTGAGAACCCACACTTATTTAAGTCACTTTCAAGTAACCTTTACCTGTTACATGTTTCAAATTGGAAATGTATCACTCAGCTTTTCATTCTTAGCTAGTGTTACTCTACTTTGTCCTTTGCATAAAACAGAATTGATCTGCTGGTGCTTTCTTTTTGAGGCCAAGGGAAAGTCTCTCATCAACTTCACTGAGCAGTGAACCAGACCTGCTAAATTTCAATTGTCAGGGCAATTTCCTCCCCTCTTTCACGCTCTCAAAGGCCAAAGGCATATTGGAAGGTGTGTGCTTGCAGCAGTCTAACTGAGCTCTAGGAGGTGTTCCCTCTCAAAGCCAAGAACTTCAAATGGGAGCCTGCACCCAGTGGTAACAGCCAGCAAGCAAAGGGAAATGACAGCTGGAGCTCAATGCAAAAAGTCAGTCTGACAACTTTGCTACATCCCCTCAAAGAACTCAGAGATAAACTCTTCTCAGATGAAATCTTATTTACAACCGCCAGAGTTCTTTCTGCAAGGACAGAGTAATTTTTAAAGCAAGATTGGCTACAGCTTTCTCAATCTCCTAAGGTAGCCACTAAGAGCTCTGAGACTTCAGCAATCTCAGGATATTGCAAATTTCTATCTAGTTCCCTCATTAATGAATTTCAGCCCTGGCTTGAGGAAGTTCAGTCAATACATCACCTTAGATCTTCTCCATACACTTCCTCATGTAGGAATCTGCAAACCTTGTCAAACCCCAGGCAGTCATCTTTCCTTTGCAGGACCACACTTCTCAGCAATAAGGGGCAGGATGACTCTGGAAACAGAAACATTTACAAAACAAGACAGCTTTGCAGAACTTTTCAGAACTTGGACTTCTGAGTAGGAAAGGTTTAGGGAGTTAGGGTTTCTGGGGAAAGTGGAAAAAAGTAAATAATTAAAACAGGATGATGAGTAGAGACTTACTTTGATATAACAAAACATAAATTTTAGCAGAGAAGCAAAGTCTGGTTGTCCTTGTGATATTGCACATCAATAAGCCAGGACTACTCTGTGATCTTCTGTACAAACTAAAACTTATTTGTCTCTCCTTGCCCCGAATTTTTCAACTCAGAGACTACAGATTTGACAAGCAGGAAAACTACAAGAAAAAGCTAGATCAAGATGAAACATATATGCTGCCTGGTCAGATGATGGTAAGAGTAGATCTAGGCTTTGTGGACATTCAGAACATTGTAGAAACACTGCAGAAAAGAACCAGTGTCCATGTCACTGTACTGATGGTGGCTTTGAAGAGATCAGATTGCTGTAGCAGATTTCTTCTACACAGTGAGTACCAGCAGTACAAAATGCACGCATGTACAGAAACCCATTTTCTGGTTTTTTTTGTGCATCTCCCTCTAAGCCCTTGCATAGTTTGAGCTGCACATCCTCCTCACATACCACACTCCCCCAAAAGATTAGCCGTGCTTATCTCGTGTGTGCCTGGGGAGCATGCGCGGTGCGCCTGGGCAGGGAGTTCTTGGCCAGCCCACAGACATTTTTCTGGGTCCTCCTTAAAAGCAATTAGCAGCTTCCCCCTTTAACTTCAGAGGGCAAATTCATCATGGAATAACTTTCCTGCAGTCGGTACAATTAGCAGGAATGCGTTTGACCCCAGCTTCACCTTTTCCGAAATGCAGTTCCTGGTACAAAGTGTTGCAGGGCTCTTGAGAGTGACATGTTATGAGTAACTGGATGTCAGGATCATCGTAAGAAAACAAACAAATCTCCAAATAACTGGAAAGTCCTGAACCAGAAACTGGCATAATAAAGTAGAAATAATTTCTACCTTCTCCTTGTTACTTCTCCTTTCTCATAACACAAAACCAGTGCAATGTACCACAGCACTCACCCCAAACATGTTCCGTTACCTATCATATCTCATCGCTGCCAAAAGTTGTGGTTTTATGGCTGCTGCATCGAGGAAATGTAAATATCTACTTTCACAGAGACAATGACTGAAACACTCCTCCTCAGTGCCATGAAGAAAGTGAACCTTTTGTTTCATTCATATTTTTCTTATACAGCTTGATATTTAATGCTTTTTTCCTAAGGAAACAACAACAACAGGAATCTGCCTAGGCTTTTACTGCTCCTCAATTCCTATGTAGAAAAGAACCCTCTATCTCAGAGCTAGGAGGCTGGGATTCCTAAGTCAGAAAGAAAGTCCTGGGCATCCACCAGACCAGCAGTGCTGGCATGTGGCACTCAATCTCAGCTGTGGTGTACTCTGGACACATTATTCTTATTTCTTGAGAAATATAACACACACTGCCCTGCACCTTCCATGATGTATGTACCTCTCTTTTCCATGTCATACATGGTCTAATCCTTTTCCTTGAGTATCATTTGCACAGTAATCCTTTTCCTTCTGTGACAAAACAACAGAACTCCTTTTCCTCCACTGTCACTTGTAGAACAATCCCTTACTTCTAGCAGCATGCAGGCAGAAATCCTTTATCTTTGTGCCAAACACAAAATGATCATCTCTAGCTTGCTTCCAATGTGTTTGACAATGCAGCCCTTATGCTCATTCCATGAAGAACACACCACAGTCCTTTTATTCCCAATTTATCCAAACACAACTTTCATCTGACTGTTGCACAGTATGAAATACAGTAGTGAAAAATGCAAAGTCCATTGCAAATAAAAATGCTAATAGAGCCCGAATTTTTTAAAATTGTGTTTTAAAACTTCAACTTCTTCAAATATTTAAAGAGTGAGACAAAAACAAGTATAGAGATATTCTAGCATTACTTTTTTTTCCTTTTGCTTCCCTCTTTATCAATGACATCATGAAAAACAATCATGGGAAGGGGAACAGGAGGAAGATAGAAATTTGGCTGTCACTCAGAACTTGAACCCAAACTCAGTCTTTTAAATTACTCTGGCTTGGGTCCTTCACATGTGAAAGATTATTTTTTCTTAAGCTAAAAAATGTTTTGGCTCAACACACACACCACCTGCATGAGACCAGTTACCAAAGCAAATCAGAGTGAGAAGACAAGAGAGCAGTGACCAGGACTGCCAGTGTCATCAACTGAACAAGTAATTTGGGCTGCCTTACCCTGAGCTCTATCCAAACTCAAACAGATACCTGCTTAACCAGCACTTAACAGGAAAGCCCTACCTGCAGCTGATCCCCTGGGAAGCTGCAGAAAGACGGGCATCTGATGGGGGTTGGGAATCAGCCCCCTAATTTGATAACCCTTGTACACAGCAGCATTGCATTTAGTGATGATTTGCATTTAAAGTGATCCTGTTTATTTATCTTGGATTCCTATTTCCACTCTGCTGCATGCTTTCAAAACAAGGCTCAATTAATAAATGCTAAGTGTGACCTCTTGCAGAACCCCCATTTTAGACCCATTGATTGATTGCCATGGGTTTTGCCTGCTCTTGGGCTGCCATATGTCTGCCAGGTTTGGCACGGCACTGCATCTTTGGTTACTGCACACAACTTCCTTGTAACAGGACTGAGCCATTCCTCCAGGTGCTCCTGTGTCTGTGACTTGCGCTGACATCCTGAGTGGCTGGTGCATTTGAGGTGCAGATTTCCTGTGTTTGCTCCCAGAGCAGTTGTGCTTGCTGCCTTCAGCTCCTGACTGGTACAGCCACAAGGGCTGCTGAATGAAATTCTGGGTGGAAAACCACCACCACATTTCCTGAACAAAGATAATAATTATGATAATTGTATCACTTTAGCATTTCTTGCCTGTGTTTATGAACAAATGGTGTGAGCCAATGAGAACAGCAGCTTCTTCCCTTCAAATTAAGTTGTGTTTTGGAATAGCAGGGTAGATAGGATATGACTTTTAGTTTGCTATGTTTACTTCTTTATCTTTTCAGCGGTGCATTGCACATTCACCACAATTCTTCACCTCTACTGTCACTTTTATGGCAGTGTTTTCCTTTTCTTCCTCTTCAGTCATAGGCATGTTAATCTTTTGTGTCACAAGCAGCACAACCCCTCCTTTATATGGGCCTCCTCATGCCTGTGCACAGTCCTGAATTATACAGTTAAAACAAAAAATAATTTCCACTACAAAATGTAAAACATTGCAATTTTTACCATTGTTATTTTTATTTCCATTACCACCAAATCCTGTCTGGACTGAATAATTAAGCAGCTATTTGTGTCATGGGTTTCAATGCTGAACATAACCCATTAACCCCCCAGGAGCAAGGTCCTTGAATTCTGAATAATTCTGGGACTAAGTTGTGATGAATCAGGACTGAGATAAGAGCCATGCATCTCTAAAAAAATCTGGAGCGTGTTCTTGGCACTCAAGGTTTTTTCTGTGTTGCAAGCAGTTTCTGCTCTTCCTTTTTTTTTCTTTCCTCATTCAACTGACTGTCATGGGAAATGCAGAATATCCTCTATTTAGAAAAAGTGTTTGCTATAGTTCATTCTATTATTTTCTTATTTTTCCCACTGAAATATTTGTATTTAAAGAGCACCTTACCATTCTTTGAGGCTCATCTGTTTGTATTGCTTATTCTGTGCTTGGAATTGTCATAAATCTCACTCTGGACTCATTTTTCCCTTCAGATAGAGCCTTATTAGCTGTAACTAGTCTTGGACATGCTGATACAGCATGGTTGGGTGGGCACAATCAGTAGCAACATTCCTGGCACCAGTATGAGTGTACTGGCCTGTCTACTTAGCAAGCTGTGGGGCCAAATTGGTCTGTGAACTAAAGGTGGGCAGGTCTCTCCTAATATATCAGCTGCTGCTGGAAGTGAGGGAATGAATGTTTTCTACATAACACAGTCCATTTCAAGATCTTTTCCATAACAGATACTTGGGAGGCAGAATGACAGCTCCACCCACAGATGCACAGATCTGCAAAATAATAAAAAAAGAGGTACCTCTGGGCATATACAACACCCTCCCCAGATAAAAATTCATAGCATCATATCATAGTTGGAAGAGATCCATGAGGATCATCTAAGTCTATTTCCTGGCCTTCCACAGAACATCCCCAGAGTCACACCATGTGCCTGAGAGCATTGTCCAAACACTGCTGGAGCTCTGTCACAGATGCACAGATCTGCAAAATAATAAAAAAAGAGGTACCTCTGGGCATATACAACACCCTCCCCAGATAAAAATTCATAGCATCATATCATAGTTGGAAGAGATCCATGAGGATCATCTAAGTCTATTTCCTGACCTTCCACAGAACATCCCCAGGAGTCACACCATGTGGTTTGGACACACCAGTTGTCCAAACACTGCTGGAGCTCTGTCAGGCTGCTGCTGTGACCTCTGCCCTGGGGAGCTGTCCCAGTGCCCTCTGGTGAAGAACTATTTCCTGATGTCCAACCTAAACCTCCCTGCTCAGCCTCAGGCCATTCCCTCGGGCCCTGTCGGTGTCTCCCTGGGCTTCTCTCCAGCCTCTCATTCCCCAGTCTATACACACATCTGGGGCTGCTCTGTCCCAGGCAGAGAATCCAGCACTTGTCTGGTCTGCTGCCTAAAAGCAACCTTACAAGTATTTTGCTCCACAATTTCTGTGTCAGCACCAACCATTTCTAAATGGACTGTCCCTTTCTAAGAGATAACCAGCTCTGATCTAAAGACTCTGATGGAGAACTTTGCCATATTTGTGATCAGTTACAAAGTTTAGGTAATTGACTGCTTGCTTGTTCTTATGGCTACAAAACACTTATCAGCCCTGTGTATTGGCACAAACCTCCTGTGTAGTCAGCAATGTGGAAAGGGCTTCTTGCCTGAGTAAGGGTGGTGAGAGCAAGCCTTGTGCTGGGCCTGTTAATTCAGGAAATGCAGGCTGTCAGGTTCTGAGGAAGGACTCAGTCTGGGATCTCTGCTGGTCAGGATTGGCACCACCATTTCAGACACGTACAAACTGAGGAAAATAGGTATAGCATTAGAAGAAAATGTTGTGAGAAAATTATTGAGTATATTCAGATATCTCAAAATATATCCTCAGTCCAAATACCAAACCAAACAAACAAAACTTGATACAATCCATTAACATTAGCAATGCTGTATAAGTTGGGAGTAATCACCATCATTTAATGATTGGTTGTGAGACATATTCCAGAATATAGTAGATTAGTAGTGAGATTTGGTTTTATCACAGGAACATAATATCTGCTAGGGACAAAATTCTAAAGAGGGAAAAAGCACAAAAATGAAACAATTGCTTTTCAGGTCACAAAGAATCTTAAGTTTTCTTATAGTAAGTTAACACTTTTCAGAACAGCATGGAACCAGAACCTGATGATAGATGCAGGATTGAGGGTTGACTAAGGGAATGTGTGAGCATCTGCAGGGGAGGGATCTTTGTTTCTTGAAGAAAATTTGGCATTATAGTAATAAAGAGATAAGTTGCCAATGATATCTAACATGAAATAGGATGAGCATCCTAGTGAAGTTTAGACACCTTTGCAATATCCAGAAGTATCCTTTTCCCTTTGTCTTCTTCTTTCTTCTTCATTACCTCATTTTTTCTCCCTGAGGAAGAAACAATAATTTAATTCTGATTAATATACAGAAAATCTCCTACAATTGAGATGGTTAACTTACAGTGAAATAATTTATGAGCCACAGCTTTGGCTTAACTGAATGTCTTCTGTGCAGCTTTAGCTTTGCTTTACGGACCTCTGAGAATATAAGGCTTCACCATTTAAGCAGGATCTGTAGTTGGTGCTGGAGATTGAAGGGACCTCCTGAAGTAAGACACTGACCTGTGAAGGACCCACTGTCATAGGAAAACTGCAACAGTGTGAAACCTAGACAAAAACATAACCACAGCAGAAACCAACTTGCACATCTGTGAGCAGCCTCCAGCTCCTCATAAACAAGAGCTGTAACCTCATTGCCAAAGACTGAAAGAGCCCTAAGAGAGACCTGTTGTTCTACTTGTGCAGGAAACCTTGCTCCCACTTTCTCCATAGAAATAGCAGGAGT